GAATCACATTCTAAATTCCGAAAGTGTATTCTAAACTTCTTAGATTATATTTATTTATCCACAACGGCAACAAAAACAGCAAACTTCCGACGTTATAAGTATCCTCATGATTCTTCTTCATTTGCCTACAAATAGTTCTAAATTTTATTTAAAAAACTAATTAAATCAAATACAAAGGGTAAATTAGGAATATGTGACATTTACTCATAGAATGCATAGATGGACGATAGTTTAATTATTTATCCTTTATCTATTTTTCCTTTTTTTTCTTAGTTTATCTCTCTTAAGAATTTAATGATCACTAGAATCTTTTTGGAAATAAAAATCTAAACAATATATAATAAGCATAAATTTATGTAGCATCGTTGTAGTTTATTTTTTTTTTAGAATGTACAGTATTATAAAATAGTTTTTTGTTGTTTAGATGATATTTATGAAAAATATAATACAAACCAACAGATTTTTAAAATAAATTCATACCAAACTTAGAACATAATATCAACTAGGATCCTAGAAATTATGATTGTTAAAACTGGGCCAAATCCTATTGATATCAAATGATGTTGCATTAATATTACCTTCTCTAGCGGTTGTTTCATTAGGAGATGGCTCTTGGCAGAGACGATCATTTGTCGTTGTAGTGTTGTCTCTCCTGTAAAATTGTAAGTTGTTAATGTTACCTCCTTCCTCTTGTATTCCCAGCTCTTGTCTCATGAAATCAAAAGGGTATTGTCTTGGTTGATTCATAGCCATTATTGATTATTGTTCATGTTCTCATGTTGTAATGGTTGAGTGGCAGATCCAACCAAATCATGGAAAGTCATCACTTGGGGGCAAACTGACATCATCTCCAAATTAGGGTTCCCATTGCTACTGCTTCCTTGGTATGGATAGAAGCCTCTAGGGTTTGGATTTCCATGCCCAATTTGCTGGTCAATTACAGGTTTAGGCGGTTCGGGTGTTGGAAACCATTGATCTATTAAGTAATAACTTTTATTCTCCCTCAAACTATCAATGTTAATTATTCTTGTTGCTTCATCTGTGTTTCCTGCTCTCTCATCATCTTGATCACCTCTTAAAAAAGCGTCATTTGTGGTGATCTTAAACTGTTCGACTTGCGCCTCAAATGGAAGCACGGGTAGATCACGAAGAGGAGAAAACTGCATGAAATCTAGCTTCTTCCTAAGAGATATGATAGTATCCCTTGAGAAAGATAGTAATGTATAGATCTCATTTAAGTTAAGATCATCGATTGTACGACCGCATTGTAGTTGCATCATCAACTCATTAGTGACATACTCTTTATTCTTTTGACAACTCTTTAGCAATTTTTCATTAGCCTTATTTGTCTTCTCATTTAGATATAATTCGACATCCATCTCTTTCTTAATATGCTCGTACCTCGGTAAGCAAAGAAATTGTCTAGGAGGCCACGAGCCGTCTCAACTGATGGCCACACCATTGGCTCAGCTTCATTAGGACTGAAAATGATTATGCAAGCATTTATATCACACAATATGGATAGTTCCTTCACTTTTTTCAGTAACCCTACCCTCCTTGTTCTTAAACTTATTGCTCTTGCATTGTCATTCTCTACCCATGCAAGTTTTATATTTTTTCTTGTCATCGTCACTTTTTGATTTTAATTTCTCTTTTAAAATTAAAATTGTTGTTGGGTATGTGATGAAAGAACAACGCGGGAATTCATTTATATAGAGTTGAAGTAAATGGGTAAGATTTTGGACACTAATTTTAGTCAAAAGAAAGAGACAATGTGAATGATTGGTAAAGATGTAAAATTAATTACTATTTCTTAAAAAGTGTTGACTGTTTCTTGGGGGTGGTTAAGATAAACCGAACCTTTTCTATCTAAACCAAATGGAGAATATATATCCAAAAACTACAAAAATCTTTGATTTGGTTAAAATATTTATTTTTAAATATCATTAATAACTTAACCGATTTCAAACCAAAATGAAATAAAAAAATTGTTTCTAAATAGTAAGCATAACTTGCTTGAGAATTGAATTCAAAGCTAAATTAAAATTCTACCAAACTATATTAGTATACCAAAACTGAAACCTGGATTAAACCACCAACATGTTAGAATCTCTATGTGGTTGTATTATTACTACATGGAATCAAAACTAAATTTCTGTCCAAATTTGTAATCCCAGTCAATATTCTGAATTAATGAGTTAATGAACTGTTCTCTCATTATTTAATGCTAAAAGATATATTGACCATATTTTTTCATTATTGTGTATTAGGTTAATTAGTATTGTTTGACAATTATTTTGGAAATTAAATATTGACTATACATTTCCTTTATAAAAATTATTTTAACATTTTCATACAAATAATTTTTTTTAAATGTTATACCATATTTGTACACAAAGTTTACTTTTGAATTCTTTACTTATTTTTATTTTTTAGTTTAAATGTTTTCTTATCAAACCTATATTAAGATTATGAAATGATATTGATATGTTCAAGAAAGTCTAAAATTTTTAATTTAAAAGAATGATACTAATATATTTTAAATAGTGGACATCTCTCATCATTTTTTTTTTGTTTATCGATTTTGTTTTTTTGGCTTCTCGTTGTGGTGATGTTGTGAATGATGGTTCTTCTAGTTGAAGGTTCTTTTTGACTCGGAATGTTTGTGAATTCTTTTTTCCAGGATTTTGTTTCTTAGCTTTGGTTTGTATCTGAACTACTCTAATTTTTTTTTTTTTTTTTTCTGATTTCAATAATACTGAGACGCTAAAAACATAAATCTAGGCTTTGTTTAAATAATGTTATTAGTTTTTCATCAAAATAATGTTATTAATTTGATTACTCAGATAATCATGAAACATTTGATGTCATATATACATATTCGCAAAAGTATTGTGATTTTTCAGATTGACCAAATTGAATTTTGTATTGATCATTCATACAAAAAAAATTTTGTATTGGTCGGGTACAAAATCAAAACGTGTTTGCAAAAATATAACAAGCCCGAGCCCGGCTCGGCGGCTCACAGAAGTTTGCTTCTTCTTCCATAAATGGTATCAAGGTTTTGAACCTTGTTAGAACTTCTCCACTATATATAAGAGGAGTTTTCACTTCAAGTTCCAATGTTGGACTTAGACTTAATGTTTTAAATTTATAGTTTCCAAGCAACCCTTTAGACCTTCATTCTCTCATACACTACGTTAACTCGTTAATGAAATCCATCTATGAACAAAAAAAAAAGAGTAAACACTACTACGTTAATACGTTATTGTGTTCGCATTGAGGAATCCACTGCTAATATGCTTATTCGATAAAGGAATTCACTAGAAACAACCGACGCAACATATCTAAAAATTGAGTTTCAACAAACATTTGCAGCATCAAACGGTTCCAAAATAGTCAATGGAGCTGACATTGAGCACTTATAAATTCAAAATTACAAGTAGACGATTAGGTGTTCCGCTTGTAAAAAAACAAAATAAATTTTAAGGTTATAAATTCTACGTAAATTTCAGATTAGCGTCATTTACTCATCTCAGTATCAATGAGATTTTGCACGAAATTACAACTTTAATTTAATACTAATTTCTAAAAACAAAATATACTCTCTGTATTGTATTAAGTGTTGTTTTAGAATTCAAATATTATTTTTATATTAAACTTTTCAATACAGATTTTGGAAGTAAACGTCTGGCAATCCTCCTCCTCTAAGCTAGTTTTTGGGTATGAGTTAGGCATACTAATACGATATCAGAGCCAGGTTCCATCTTCTCAATTGTAAGCTATTAGCCGTGGATGTCCAGTCCACAAACTTCATACTTCACTTGTCCAATCCCGAGTGTGAAGGGGGTGGTATTAGAATCCCACATTAGAAGTTGGCAAAAATTCTTGGACAGTATATAAATATGTGACATCCTAAATAGGTCCATGCTGAGCTGGCAACTGACGAGAAAGCTGTTCAAGCTGTTGAAGTGGATAAGATCATACCGTTAGTCTGTTAATAGAGAAAAGATTTTAGGACATTGAGTGTGAAAATACAACTACCTGTAAAGTCATTCTTTCTGTTTGGCATTGTTAGAAAAGATTATGTTCTTATCAACGTGCTAACAGAGTTGTTCAAATAAGTATTCAGCTGAAGAAGTTACGACACTCAGGAGCAGATTATTTAGATTCAACAAAATATAACGAAGATCAAAGATATGGAGAAATTTTGGCTTATACATGCATTTAATAAGCCACAAGTTTAACTTTAAACACAAAATATAAAGAAGGGACCAGTTGTTTGGATATCGTCTACGACCCCGTGTAGACAGTAACAACCACAAATCCTGTCATCAGACCGTAATTTCACTGTTGGTCCAAGAAAACCACAAATATTTTCTACTTTCTCATCAAACATTTACAGACGACAGTATTCTCTATAGAAAAAAATAAAAAGCAAGGAAATGATTGAACTTTACAAAAAGGATATACAAAAGGAAGAAATGGTCAAGGATGCGAAGGTGGAGGAGGAGCGGTAAGAGCGTAAGTGAGACTGTTGGATGAGTTTTCAATAAGCCAGCCACTCCTGCCGCTGATTGTGTATTTGATGGCAGGAACAAGTCGTGCTTTTGGTCTTAATATGCACTCCATACCTTGAGAAATCCATTTGGGGGTTAAAATAAAAAACACTTTGTTGAACAAGACTTTATTCGTAGTGTTTAGATATCACAACTTACTTCTGACGCATCAAGTATCTCACGCACTTTTGAGCAATGTGCTCCTTCTGTTGCAAAACCATGCAATACCTGAGACACAGAAATTATTTCATCAATCACATGTGTAACAAACATCTCGCTAACAAATTCAACACTAACCTCAACTGCAAGCACCCGCCCGATTGATGCTTCCGATTCATTCCATTTCAAGTGAGAACTGAGCCCGTACCTTCCCCCCGTCCTCCAGTCAAGCAACCCAAGAAGGACCTCAATAAGACCAACCCTACCAATTTTCAATCATTTGTATCAGCCAAGTAGATATATCCCATTCAAAAATGGACCCAAATTTCAAGCCTTGTACCCACTTCTTCTAAACGACTATTTTCCACAATTTTATTCTGTAACTAGGTATTGTCAGATTAACACTTCAGCAGTCTTAGCAGAGTTTGCATTTAGAGATAATTAAGATGTGAGTACCCGTCAGCTTGAGTACCAAAGACATTATCATTTAGTAACAGGATTACTCACTTTAGACCCTGCGCAACAAGCGCATCTCTGGCCCGATTTCCAGCCACAACAACACGCTTAAGTGTCTCAAGTGCTAAAATGCTTCCACCAAGCCATCCTATTGCTTTCATGAGAAGTGGAACCACCTGGTGTTTAATCAACTCAAGAGTCATTACACATGTCATAGGTAACACCAACTAGTTTCAATTTTTAACCAGCGTGTGCTTAGTAGGAGGAGAGAAATAGAGTAAAGAACCTGGGCATTTCCAGCACTAGTTGCAGCCATTGCTTCAGCACATGCGGTACTAGCTGCAAGTTGATGAAGCACACGTAAACAACTAAGGCGCACGCGTTCTTGAGGGGTTTGCCCAGGTAGACTTGAGGGATCAGCAGACTCATTCACTCCATCAGATCCAATTTCTTCAGCCTTCACTTCGCCAGAAGACATTGTTTCCCGCCTCCCCTCATACGCCACAGCAGCGACAAGTTTTCGGGACATACCCGAGATATCCTATGTGATCTGCAAGTGCAGGATGCACACGCAACAACGAAACCAATGCAGCAGAGAGAAGGAGAGGGAGCTCAGGGTCAACAGGATGTTGTTCATAATGTGTTGCCGCCATTGCTGACAAATACTGATCCAGTAGTCCTTCCAAGAATCGTTTTGGATTTCTCAGAGGAAATTTTGGATCTTTTAAGAAAAGCCTGACATTGACTCCACCAACCTAGACAGAGAGAAAAATTTCATCAATAACTATTCTTCAACGCAAAGGATCTCTTTCCCTACAGATCTATATATTGGTTTAAATAAATAAAAATAACCTGTAGCTCGTATCTCATTTCTGGTTGACCAGATGACTGCTCTGGTACGTCCCATTCAATAACAGAACCCTTCTGTTGTTCACCATAAATATCTGATGCCATGGTTGCAATCTGTGCGGATAAAGATGCTGCCATTGCTGGTGTCCACACAAGTTCTGGAGTCTCTGTGGTCCGCTCAAGCGCATGTACAACAGCCTCCCCAGGTCCATCACGAATTATAGATACAAGACCGTCCGGAAGGAATCTCACGAGTGTGATAGCAACTCTAGGCCCATGCATTGGTTGTGCGACGAGCTTACCCAACAAAGAAGCCGCTGCAGCTCTTTGCTGCAAGGGAATATCTTCTGCACAAGACCATTTTGTGTCATTGACTCCATTGTATGTAATCAGAAAGCCAATGGGAAAAGAAAAAGAGTTCAGAATGATTACTTTGCAAGGCAATAAAAGTTCCAGAATATATACTACTCCACCATGTTTTGCAGCAGCCCAAGCAAGTTCTGGTGTGCTTGCCAAAGCATAAAGAACATGGAGAGCACCCTCGCGAAAAGAAGGTGCAGAATGAAGCATTTGTAAGAGGAGAAGAAGACTAGATCCATCAGATACCATCGTCTCCAAGCAAGGAGCATAAGCAGTTAGACGAGAGAGGACGTTCAGGCAGAGTTTTGGAATATCTGTTTTTGATGCAATGGACACCGAAAAACATTCAAAGAGAGGTAATAGTCTCTCCTTAGACGAAAACACTGAAGCCAGATCTGGATACTTTGTAAGCAAGTTCTGAAAAAAGAGGCAAAGAAAAAGGTAAGACATGCTGAATTCTATGATATCTACACATTCACATGCGCCATATGATTACCTGAAGAGCAGTCAATCCTAATTGGAGGTGATCAATCAGAAAACATTCTTCCTTCTTCCCCTCAGATGATGGCTGATGATCGGAATGTTCTTCAATCAATGACGGTTCTACGACGCTACTTTGAAGTTCCGGAGTATCATTAGATGAGCTGCCGTCTTCGATCAAATTTTGGTCCTCGGAAACAGAGGGCAACTCAGTATGCACTAATGATGATATAAAGTCGATCAGAGCATTGCAGAATGCTTCTGGTTCACTGATCTCTGAGTCGGGCTGATCATTATAGACCTTCAAGTAAACATTGCCAATAAAGACCTCTTTTGACAGTGCGTCATATGAAAAAGATTGAGCAGTTTTCAGATCATATGAACCATCGGGGCACTGGCAGGTGCGTTGTTCATCCACAAAATTTAAAAGCTCTGATCGAGTTGCAGAGTTCCAGATAATCTGTCAAACAAAAATTTGATACAATTATAGTCTATGCACCATAAGCTTAACATGCTTTTAACACTCAATGAAGTGTTCATCAAGATTTCGTATGAGCGTGTAGAGAAATATCTTAAGAAATAGAAATTCTGCAATGTGATGGCATCAGACATATCTTTTTTATTAGAGATACAAAAACACGACCAAATATACATGGAAATGTGAATTCTAAAGATGATTATGCACCATTCATTTCAATATCCTGCTCAGACAAACAATTCAGTAAAAAGAAAATGTTTACCTCCGGTGTCTCCAAATTTGTGTTAAGTTTGGATAACAAATCCTTGGCAACTTCATCTTTCAACAAACTAGCAAGTTTTGGAGTCAGTAATGCTCTGATAACATCAGCCGCAGCAGCATTGTAAGGTGTCAAACTCTCATCTGCACATAGTCCACTAAGCCTTGATAGGGCTTGCGATGCTTGTAAGGCATGCTCATTCTTGGCAATTTGAATGCTAACTCCAACCCCATGAGACTCGACAGAATTAGATTCCTCTACAGTTGAGTCATACTGTAGTAATAATGGGAGAATATACCTGATCAAACAGACACAAAAATCGAAAGAAGCACAGCCGTTAATCATACTTGTCAGAAGCAAAGGTCCAAATGAGTGTAAGAAAGATACAAAGTTAAGTTGGAAAACTGTGCTGCTGACTATTAGATCGCTATGCCTTCATAATGATTATATAGACATTATACATTGAATTTTACATGCATTGACAGTGATGCCACCAAGATTATGTCTTGTAATTGATCAAAAACATATTAACGGCGACAAACAGAACAAGAATATAGCTCACCATAAGGCACCAGCCTTTAGCAGACCATGCTGAAGTTCAGGGAAGACAGAAACCTTGGCAATAGACTGGAGAGCAGCATCAACGGCTGCAGGCACAAGTTCTAGTTCCGTACAGTGCACAATGTCATCAATCAGACTGGGTAACTCTAGAAATCCAGCCCTTGCACTCTCAAACTGACTTATTACAGAAAGTGTACGCATTACATTTGTGACAATGATTGCAGCTGGTTCGTGTTGTGAAGTTGTTGGCTGAACCACACACATGCAGCGAGAAAGAAGAGTCGATAGAAGCTGCACACCACCATCTCTCACTAATTCTTCACCATTCAACGACGAGGCAGCACAGCTACACAGAAGATAGGAAAATAAAATAGATAGCATTCAAGGAATGGAAATAAATAAACATAGAATTGCACAGTTTTAGCAAGAGAAATAAGTACGTTAACGAAACAAGCTCAGATGCTGCAACAAGAAGAGGGGATCTATCATTAGATAGAAAGTTGTTGTCATCCTTGTCCACTGTAACTGCATCAAGTAACATCGGATAGCCAGCATATTTGAATGGCCGTAACACATGTCCATAACGTCGATATAAGATGCACTGCGCTTTCAGTAAAAGCAGCAACCTCCACGGCTGAGGACCTTGCAATCCTTGCATTGTTGCCTATAAGCAGAAGAACGGATATGTATAGTATGATAAATATGAGATCTAGAGACAGAAATATATATATAAACACAATCATATTTATGGACCTAAAACACTAATCTACAGTGGAATAGTTTCAGAGATGGGAGTACACGATAAAATTCTTAAATACAAATCGACTATGTTCTTAGCGGAACTAAATGATAATTGATAACTTCATGTACATACTATGATTAAACACTTGTTTGACAAGCAAACACCGAAAAAGGAAAAAGTTAACCAATGATATCTCTACTAATAAGAACACAGCAACATTATGAAGGAGAACTCAATTGCTACATATAGCATTCATCAAATAACTTGAACATAAAATAACTGCTGGTATCCAAGAATTATGCACTTTTCAACATATAACGTGACCATCCAATGGTCCAATGTTCTAAAAGACGGGTACAATAACAGACAAAGATGGTAAACATATAATTGAAGAAAACATCAAATCCCAGATAATAATCAGAACTTTGTAGACGTACCTGTAGGCATTCATAAGCTTTTTGAACAGCCAGGAACTTTTCTCTTCCTTCTGGATTCTTGTCAGGATGGTACCTCATCGCAAGCTTCCTGTACTGGCGCTTAAGTTTCTCTTCATCAAGGTTTTGAATTTGTTTGGATATATTAGATATTTCCTCATTCAACTCAACTGAAGCAGCCAAGTTTAGGTCATCACTTGATGCATCATTCAGGGATATTTCTAGAATTTTGCAAGCTTCTCCTTCAGAAAGATCCATGGGTTTCCTAGTCAACTCTTCACGCCACATCACAAGTAATGATTGTAAGAACTCGACATGTTCAACAATCGGCCAATTAGGAAATCGAATCTCATCACATAAATTTCTGAGATAATAACGGTGACACCACATCTCATCTCTAAGTTCTGGATACGTAACAGGTGGCATGGGAGCATAATCATAGAGAGAATGGCAGTGCTGTGACAATTTCTGAGGATAGTCACCAAGATGCTGCAAAACCTGAGGAAATAGAAACGAGAATTAAAACTGAATAATTGAAAGTGATAGTTTACAGATAGTCTTCAAGAAAATGACCTAAAGCCCACAGTAGTGAATATGTAAATACCTGACATATAAGATTTTCTGCTCGCATTTTATGTGTCCATATAATCTCCGGAGTATCGGAATCAGAAACCATGCCAGCTGCAAACGCAGCTGGTCCACTGCGCTCTAATACATATAATAAGGACTCTGGGAGAAGACCACCCAATACGCTTCTTTTAGCCAGGGGCAGAGAGGAGGAAACAGTAGCTTCTTCCCCACCATGAAAAGCTTGATGCACATGGGTGACCGAGAAGAGTTGTGCAATTGAGTAAAGATTGGATCCAGGGTAAGCAAGGGCAAAGTAAAAGGCCCCTGTACTGTACAGGCGGATCATCGCCTTGGAGTTTCTGGTAACAACGTCTTTTAAAAGAGCAGCACCAGCCTCCACAATAACTGGTTCGCCAGAGAGCAGAGCCTTTTCCAAATTTTAGAAAGACATCAGATTAACATAGGGTCATAATAAACAGTTTTTGGTCAAGGGGAAAAAAAAAACAGCTCAGATTACAACTCCCAGTTTTCCGATGAAGGAAAATTAAATGAGCAGAATTTTCAAATACTGACCGATTATTTTGCAAATCATCTCTAAGATAATACTGAAAACTAGCACATATACAGCAGGCGTGCCTAATGCCATTAAATAGTAGGGGAACTAGGAACCTTGGCTCAGCTTAATAACACCTACCAAACACATCATAGATGCAGCTAGAAGAAGAATTATGGAGAGAAAGAAAGACATTACCTGAGCAATGTGAGGAAGACAACGTGTACTAGACAAGATACGTTTTACTCTTGGTGTTGGAGTTACAATCTCTCCAGCGTCATCCAAATCTGAATGTGCCGAAACCATGCTATGTAATATGGACAATGCAGCATCCCCTACCTGCATAGTGTTTTATCAATTAGAATAAGTATTGCATAAACATGAAGGAATGAAACAGAGGAAAAAGGTAATGGACATGAAGAGCATTTGTCTTTTGGGATGTTAAGAATGATAAAATGAAATGTCCATAGCCAGTCACACATAAAATTAACCGTAAAGCTTAACCTGAGTAGGTGTGAGGACTGGAACTCGAACAGCTACTGCCCATCTAAGTTCACGGATATCACGCAATTTCTTCCAGTCTAACATTCCTAAAGCCCGACACTTAGTTGTCCAGTCAATATCCTTTTTGGACCATAAACTTCTGATGACGTCCTTCTCTACAGGTCCCACTTCTGCACCACCTTTGTCTATGTACATCCATTCCTTAGGTGGTTCCATAAATGCAGTAGCAGCAATTAAATTGGACTGTAATGGAATAGGAGTCCTCTCCGAGTTTTCATGAACAACAGTCAGCAGATCTACAGCTAGGACACAACCACCAACCACAACACAACCTTCAACGTTTAACAAGACCTTAACTAGAGCCTGCAGGTACGAGGAAAAGGTAAGCAACCAAGCATGAAAAGAATATCTCCAGAATGATTTTGTATGTGACGACGTAATGCATACATCAAAATCTAGTGAAAATAAGTGGAGGAACAAGAATAACTAGAATTAAAAGAACAAGAAAGCAATATTTTAAATAGTTAGTGATACCTTCAGGAGAAGTAGTAGGCGATGCCTCAAAGCTCTATCATTCGTCCTATCTATCAGTGTTGTAATATGTGCAGTGCCTTCAAAAGGACCTATTGTGTTGTAGTGTTGCTCATAGACAATCGCCATCGCTCTTGCACAAAGCTCCCTAACAGAAGCTCCTCCCCCTCCACCAAAACCATCAAGCCTACTCATATCACACCAGTCGCCTGATGAACCCAATTCATCTGGAACAGCACCATCAATAGTAAGCCCCATATCAGCATCACACTGGAAACGATGATAGAGCGCCCTGAAAAAAGCAACTGGATCACGGAGAGGGAAATCGTGTGCCTTGCCAGCGTTCCCACTTTCAAGCAATAAGCGTAGGTAATATTGACCCACACAAACTTCTTTTGACAAGCTACGATAACTAACAGAGAACTCAGAATAGTTCCAAGATATACGTGGGACAGTCTCCTGGCCAGTTGTGGCCTCGACATCACTGGGGGAAATATCTTCTGTGCGCTCTTTCTCGACATCTAGGTTGTGAACCTCAGCCTTCAAAGCTTCCCTTAATTCTTGCCTTGTACGCTCATTCCATATGAGATCTGCACGATTATGATCAAGGCCAAAGGCTCGCCAAAACTCACGCCAATTTAGAAGGAGCTTTCCGGAACCTACAGGTGTACTTTCTACAATAACTTGAGCAGGTGCTGGAAGCACTGAATTCTGGATGCCATACAAGTTTGGGTCAGAACCAACAACATCGGATGCATTAGTCTCAGGTTGCTCATGCCCATTTGCATTTGTGGTGATTGAAGCAAATGCTGGATAGCCATTTTGTGAAACCCCAGCAGTAGTACTGTCACCACCTGGAAAAGCAGAAGCCTGAAGATTCGAAGCTTCAGAAGAAGAATCTGCAACACGCCTTTGAAAGTTATCGGGTACACTAGCATTTGCACTCATCTGTTTTGCTACATCGCCAGTCTCAACATTATTACCAGGGGGAAGAGGAATATCTTGAGCACCCATTCCCTTAGCTATACGACCTCTTCTCTGCTGAAGTAATCTTTTCTGCCGCCTATTTGTTGACGAACCTTCTTGATCTGTATCATCGACAACATCATCGGGACGTGTATGCAAATATGCAACAAGCCCAGGTGGCAGAACTCGAGACAGTAGATCCAAAGCTGGTTGGTAAGAATCTGCCCAGAGTGCCACAAGCTGCCTACTTACCTCAAGCCGCTCACTGGCAGGAAGGGAAAATGCATTCAATAAATGTCTCAACAAAGCACCATCACGCAAAGCAGCATCACGCATTGACTCTGCAGCAATTGCATCTTCTTCAGCTATTGTACGCATTATAACAGCAATGATTTCCCTAACACTTTCTGCAGGATGTGCAAAGAGTGCAAATAAACGACGTCGTAGGGCAGCTATTTGTCGTAACAATTCTACAAAAACAGTGTATTGGGTAGTCTCTCCATGTGGATCACAAACCATAGCCTCAAAGACTTCAACAATCGCCATGGAAAACAGAGGTGAGACTGACATGGGTTTCAACCGATTGACCAGGATAGTAACATAACCCTGTTGAGCAAACAAAACAGACTTGGTATGCATGATAGTTGCATGTTTTTCTCCTCTGGAATCCGGTGCAGTGCTCAGATCTGCTGACCAACCGCCTATGAGGGACGCAATAAGCCCCGCAGCTTCAGCAGCCACACCTTCAGAACCGTTCCTAAGTAAACCCATTATCCTGTTAACAGCAGCAGGGAAAGACATTATATGGGATGCTGCACTCCTGGAGGACAATAACCTACGCAAACATGCGACAAAGCCAATGACAGTTGCTGCTGCTTTGGGTGAAGGAGGTGGCAAAGGAGGGGCGTCTACAGGGAGGTTTGGAGTTGATGGTAGCATTGTAATCAATGCCATCAAAGTCACCTCAGGGACTTCACTATTAGTGGGCACACCTGTATACGGGATACAAGCATTGAACTCCCTTATTCTGCGCCATAATCTAGCCCTACTACCAGGAACAGAGCCACCTTCGGCAACTGCATCTTTTGCAGCAGCAGCTAAATGTTTCAGATGTAGGGAGCAAGTTTCCAAATCAGCAACAAGATGTTGTGGTCCAGAGATCAAGCTAACCCTTCCACAAGGTGGATCAATGCGATGACCAGGCATAGTAAGCCGTGGTAATACTGGTATCGGGCATTGTCCCTGCATCATATGTCCCCCATATATTAGCATTCCCATCTCAAATAAATTTTGCGTGCAATTACAGCAAAGTATTAATATATGAAAATGTTTAGGACCAACATATCACATTCTAAAAATGACAGAGTATACGTACTTCTGTTTGCAGAGTATCGAGAATCGCTGCAAGTAGGTTGTCTCGGGATATGCTTGCATAGACCTAGAATAAGTGTCACAGAGGTTAGCTAATTATCATGATTAATAGTATATAACATAGAAGCAGAAATTACTTACATGAACTGGACACCCATCACTGAATTCGATAGCAAACATTTGGGGCTCCTCAGAGAACCGGACAAGTGAACTTACTGAAGATAGAGGACGAACGATAACAACCTGCACACATCTAAGCAGTATTCTCAGTATTTGACAAAACAAAACCAAACTAGACAAGTAGAAAGTAAAAGCTACTTCCTACTAATTTTCAGTCTTACTTTATCATCCCAACATTGTAGTAACTTATTTGAATTATGTTCAATTTAAGGCACGGCCATATCATGGGAAACTTTTTACATTAAACGTTTAATAAAACCAGAAACAAAAACAATAGAACAAAGAATAGGAACGCAGCATAAAGTAGTAATATAGATAGAAATTATGTCTAAAAACGTGTTGCCAACTTACTTCATAGTTATCTATTCGTCTCTCAACAAGGGATGCCTTAGTAAGAATTAGCTGAAGGGCAACAGCATCTCCATGCTCACCAAGTCCTCCTTTGGGGCCAATTGCTAAGCTTAGTCCAGGCATGTTTAGAGTTCCATGAGCAGCAGATCTTAATCTAGTAACAGACCACCACCCATTAGGACTTTCTTCAGCTCCAACTGCTTCTTTAGCTGCATAGTCAACAATTGGCATCAAAGACAAGATAAGGAAATGATAAATAAATATATAAAAAAAAAAAAAGGTGATCTAGACAAGACACAGTTGTAAGTACCCCTTCGTGTCATATACTCCGATACTGTCAGCATTTGTGAATCATCGACTGACAAGAATACCCCAACCATGGACTTTGCAGTCTTAGCCTGCAAATGATATTTGCAATTATCAAGGTTAACAATAAGTTAGTAACAACTTCTCAACTAATGTTCAAGCATCTCATTAATACCAAACTTGCGACAATGGAGGAATTTGTTGTCCCAGGTGCAGCTCTAAAAGCTTTTGACTTTCTCCCATACATGGGACACAGAACAAACCCAGCAGAGTCCGTAGATTTTGTCCGGTATGCATCAGAGAGAAGAATGATTGCTGGGGAATTCATGTCTCTGAAATCCAAAATCCAGCGCGAATCACCAGATTTAGAGTCGACGAGCTCCAGACCAACAAAGGTGACCTTCAATTTCTGCGAAAATTAAAAAAAAAAATCAATTCATAACAAAATCTAATTGAAACAATTAGTAAAAGCACCTCACTTCATTTCTACTACCAGTCGCAACTTTCAAATGATTCTTGGTTCTTCAAATAACAAAAATTAAAAAATAAAATAAAAATATCAATCCCATAGAAAATAAGAATAAGACTACTCATGTGAACTATAATTACTTACTGGAGAAAAAGAAACTTCCCTGCCCAGTTCATGATTACAAAAATTTAAGAGCACATTAAACATTGAAAGATACTAACATCAGCTTAATGCCTAATACCAGACTCTGGCTAAACTATCTAAAGATCAAAACCTTCAGTCGCAAAAAAAACTCAAATCACCAACTATACCAATTTGACAACAAGACCAACCAGCACAATATAAGATCAGAGAAACCATGCATAAAAGCTTGAAGATGGAGCCACTGTAGGAAAAATACTTACATAAGGAACCCATTCTGCATTCCGTCTCCTAAGATGTAGAACCTGAAACTCAGCCACAGGTCTAATTTGATTCCATCTAAGCCGATACAACTCGGTCAAAATACTTGCTCTGCACCTAGATGAGAACTTCATAGCCTTAAATTTCCCTTTCCCATCCGTCCTAACATTAACAGTAAACTCACCACCAACACTCTCCGTATTCTCATCCCTCCCAACCAAAGGTGAAGCACCATCAAAATTACTTCCAGTATCATAAGAATTAGTAACAGCAAGAGTATTCGGATCAAGCGTAACAATTCCGCCGCTCGAAATACAAAGGATCCTCTTATAACGACCTCTCCATGAATGTTTAACAACAAGATACCTAGCAAGATACTCCGGCTCTTCCACAGCGCCAGTTGTTGAAGCAACGGTACCTCTAGAGACGGAATCCATAGTGCGATCAGATCCAACGGTGGTTACGGAATCGAGAAACTGTAACGTGTTGTTTCGTGGAGGATTACCAAGAAGAGGTCGAAGAAAATCCCAGAATCCTACCCTGGAATGATCGGAAACGCCAGGATAATGGCGGGGATGAGACTGATTCGCCCCCAGTTCTTAACTTGGTTATAGTAAAAGCCACCGGGGCTAGAAGATCGTTTTGCAACAATCGGATCCAAAATCGGAAGCTTAAACCCTAATTTTTCTCATATGTAAGAAACCTCGGGAAGAAGAAGATGACTGCGATGGATTTCTTCTTGAATACGAAATTTGGTGAAGGATCAGAACAGAGATGAAGCAAAAATTCGATCTGAGATTGGGAGAGAAAGAGTCGTGAATTTGTGTGATGTTGTTGTTGTTATTGGTTTTTACAGTCTGACGACTTTCTTTGTTTGAGAGGGTTAAAGACTAAAGGCCATTTTTGTTGATTCGGTGTCTCTCCGGTGAATTCATCATCAATTTTTTTTTCCTTTAACAAGGATTACAGATATTGTGTCAAAATGAAATTGTGTAGATATTTATTTGGCTCTTTCAACAAAAGAATTAGCACGTATACTAAAATAATGTGAAAATTACAAATTTTAAAAAATTTTAAAACGCTTCTCCCCTTTGCTCCCATTTTTTAGAGTGACTAGATGAATATTCACGCTACGCGTGGGTTTTTATGTTAAAAATTGCAGAAAAAATATGACTATAGTTTTTGTTGCGCTTTATATTATTTTGTGTGTATGTTATTATGTAATTAATAAAGTCATATCTATTTTCTATAGTTATAATTTTTATGATTAGATTCATCTTTGACTCGAAACATTAATTCCACATTTTTAGTGTATAAACCTGATTATTTATATACCTACGATTCTAATCTTTCATTATCATGAATACATACAACAATAATATATGATATATTGATACAATGGTATGTAATTATGTTACTTATGTGGTTTGAAACTTGCCTAACTTAATTCTAAACAAACAATTTTTTGTTCTATTTACTCTCTCGTCATCTAGTACGCCAACCACATCATAATATGCTAGTATTTTAAGTCAACACTTTAGATCTCTCTCCTTGCATACAACCATATAGGAGAGAGTCTCGTGTTTTAAATTTCTTGGTATGTTTAACGTCTCAAAGGACCCTTAAGTGGAAAAAATTATGTGTCAATGTTACCAACTTATCATAACGCACAAAAATAAAAAGAGAGAATGCCATATTCAGAAAACGTAACATGAAGTTAGGTAGGAAATATATAAACTACAACACAAGTAATTTTTTAGCCATTATCGAGTAATGACCATCGATAAAAAAATTTAAGAATATAAGAAGAGTAGAATGAAAGTAGTGCTTAATACATTAGTATGATCTTTTAGTTTATTTTTTAACTAAAAAAAAATCAATTAAGAGTGAGATTAATGGAGAATTTAACACAACAAAAGACTTTTGATTTTCTCTCAATTAATTTTGCTAACCTTTTTATTTAAATAATGTAGAATGACACATGTCATTTTCTTAAGTGATGATGTGGCACTCATATGGAGAGAGTTGACCAACTTTTATATATATGATTTTGTGCAAAGAAAAAAATGAAGTATGAAATTAGGAGAAAAATATTAAAAATGTTTGTTTCTAACAAAATGCAAATAACGGTGGAAAAAGGGCTTGAAGTTGCGAGTTATTACAGAAAACCTATCAATTGTTTTGTTCCTGTAAGTGAAAACAGTTGAAATGAGTGAAAACAGTTGAAACCTATCACAGGAACAAAACAATTATGAAATGTTCTAGTTCGAAAGAACAATCTGACATTTAAGAAATACTAACAGTTGAAATGAGTGTTATCCGGCAACAGACAGAACGAGGTGACGGTCATTAAATACAACCACCTTTAATTTAAGCTCTCTCAAATTTAAATGTGGGACGAAAACATTGAGCGGGATGCAAAAAATTTAAAGACCTAACTTAGTGGTGTGGACACCCAATAAATAGTCTGTCGGTAGTGGTAAAACGTAGAGCCATAAAAGGTGAAAGAAAAAGAAAACACAAACTCCAAAACAACACGGACCTGGTTAACATCATGAGTAGATAGATAAGAAATCGACCAACCTAATCAGTAAACATAGATATTCTATTTTACTTGAAAAAACTTAATCAAATGTTCTAGTTCAGTTATTGTTTGTTGTGTGTATTACAAGGGTTTCTGATGGAGGTTACGAACGAGTTAATCAGCGACCTTGTACGTGTTCTACTTGGGGGTAAAGATGACGACAGGGTTTGGAGTTTCACGGCGGTGAAGGACAGAGTTGGCAAATGCATACGGTTTAGAGAAGGCGATGGAGTTGAAGCAACAAAGACAAAAGTCATTGGTGAACTAAACATAGATCGAACGAGTGAAAAGGTGGAGCTAACGTATGAGATGCCAGAGTGGATGGACATAGACGGATCAGTTAAACCCGTTCCAATCCACATCGTAATTGACGACAACATGGGCCTATTCCTTGCAATGCGGGTGGATATCCATGAAATGAATCTCTATGTCGTCCCCATGCCGCTTAACATGACACTTGAGATTGACGGGTTCAAGGTAGTGCCTATCATGGACGAGTTCTCCTTTGCCGAGGTAATGAGCAAGGCAGAGATCGAAAGAGAAAAGAAGCGGCGAGAGGACAAGGAGGCAGTAGACAACATCATATGCACGCAACTTCCACCAGAACATGTAGCGGACAACGAAAATGGTTTACTTGGCTGGGTAGGGCATTCATACACATATGGGGGATTTGTGATGCTGTCAGCAGCATTGAGAAACAACAAAGTTGTATCCCAATCGGGACGGGAAATGAACCCGGATGGTAGATCCTCTGCAGATAATAACAATAACTGGGTTACTCGATTGACGAGATATCTATTCACTAAGTTCGAGAAAGGTTGAAATTTCATAACTCACTAATTAATCATGTAGACATGAATAATAACATGTGGATATCTAAATACATGTTATGGTTTACATGAACAGCTGGAAACTCAAGCGAGGAAAGAGGAAGCCAGGCTGATACACAAATTCATGCAACAGGTCTAGGAGATGTGTCACCGCCTAGAGGTGGTAAGTATAGACTATATGGACAAATATGTAGTATATAAAAAATAATGACATATGAACTAATGGTAACAAACAACAATGACACTTGTATAGAAGGTGTGCTTATGGCTAACTTCAACACCAACCACACAGTTGTGCCACCTGTCGCATGGATGCTTTGTTTGCTTGATATACCAGCAAACATATCAGGGACGCAGCACCGGTGGTTGATAACACTGACCCAGACGGTAAGAGATCAAACAAAATGTAGAGGTCTACGTTTTGAAATAAATGTTTATAATAAGTTGTGAATATTTAAGAGTTAACAACAATTGTTATATGTGAATAGGTGGTGACAGACATGATTGGTCATGTTTGATGTGGATTACGAAGGGGATGAACTGTTTGATGGGCGGGTGTTCAAGAATAAAGACGACTGTAAAGTCAAGATCGTCGTACATGCAATCAACAGGAAGTTTAGCTTTCGTAGCAACTGCACGACAAATGACGTGGTCATTGTTTGGTGCATCTCTGATGCTTGCTACTGGAGAATCTACTATGTACGGTTAGAAGACACGGAATACTTCAAAATCTAGACAAAGAGGGACTGCAACAAGCCGGCTGATATTTTAGCAAAGCAGAACATTCCTAATAACGCCTCTTTTCAATCTTACTTCTTTGCTCCTATTTCTATTGTACAAGCATTACATTGTGATCACATTCGTCGTTTCGACAATTAAATAAAGATGATGTTACAAAAAAAAATAGGACACATTCCAATAATTTAAAGACCAAAATACAATGAGACTCCTTAATTACCTTATTGATACCGAGATCAACTGGCCACATTCCAATCAAGTTTACATAGTTGATTACCATTTAAGCATAGAGTATTAGGTTAATTGTTGGAAGTTATGTTTTCATTAGCATAAAGACCCCCACGACACAATCTTAAACATAGGTTCATAACCCTAATAGAAAAAGAAAACACTTGACGGCACTTGGAAGATCTGGAGTGGATATTCTCGAATTAGAGACAACATATGACTCAAAAACGAGATGATGGATTGAATAACGCTACAAAAGGATGCGGAAAAACCTTTTGATAAGTCGTAAAAAGATCAAGATTCGACAAACAAAACTGGATCAATGATCTATGCTTAAAAGAGTTTGAGAATAAAAGGATAGATGGGTTCTCATAAGAGATTACAAGGGGTTTATAAAGAAGAAAGGAAGAAGAAAGGAGTCACAAGACTGCCTTGAAACTTAGCAAAATATCAAAGATATAATTAGAATAGAAAAGACACTTCACTTCCTTTGGCTTCTCTTAGCTCATATAATTTTCTTACGTCTTCAAACTTCTATTTTTGTCACTCCTCTTGACCAGCAAATTAATGATTTGGTTTGAGCTCTTCTTGGGCTTGTAATGGCCATAAAATGGGTTGGACTCCATATATATTTTATGGGGTAGACTTATGAATGTTATGTCATGGGTTAGATCAACAAATGGGTGATTTGAAAATGTGAATCATTTTCCTTATTAAAAAACCTTGTCAAAAAATCTCCTTGGAACAAAACTTGACATAGGAAAAAAGAGTACAAATGGGACACATGCCCATTTGATGATCATGTATCGAAACTAGTGAGGTTAAGATAACATCTTTTTCATACTTTTTCTCCGCTACAAGTTCATTCTCTTGTTCAAAATGCTCTTCGGATTCAAGCTGCTCCTCTACTTCGAGCTCCTCTTCGGCTACAAGCTCTTTATCAAGTTTCCAAATCATTTGTACTTTCCATGATCACATCAACACTTATATCTAATTTAAAATGGAAAATCACCAAAACCACCTAATGCTAAAAACATTAAAACCTTATGTATCAAAATAACATGAGTTATTATCATTGTTGACAAAAGACGTAAGTCAAGGCTGGAAATGAGAGAGTCCATTGTGAGAGTAGACACGATTCTGGGAACAACGCTAATCCCAATCTGAAACTTCAATTCACGACCGTAAAATTTTTGGAGGTGTGCGAAAAAAAAAAGATTGGTGTCCATTAATTGAGAAATAAGAGAAAATTGACCACAAGTTCTCATGCGCGCCCTTGTTTCGATGTCTCTTAAACAAATTTTGTTTCATGATTTTCAACACAAATTTTTGTTTTTTGTAATGTTTACTAACATTACAACAATCACAACGAGAAGACACAGACTGCCTTTCCTACGTCATTTACTCTTTGAAGTCATCCTTGTCATCTGCCGGAATTGGTAGGTTTCTCCAGAACACGGCCAGGCCGCTCCCGCCAAGCTGCAGAATGCCATTGAACAAAATTATTACACTTTAGAAATTTACATTTACATGTTAAGTTTTGTGAAATGGCTATGAAAACTTACCGCCATACAGACAACACTGACTGCAGAAGGAACAGCAACTAGAGGGTTTGTGAAATGCTTTTGAGCAAGTAAGAACCCGAGCGCTGAACTCTGCAGTTTGGAAGGTACACAGATTTTATAAATAAGCCTTAATAAAGCAAACGACAATGTATATCTATGGTAAAGGAGAAAGTAACTTACTTGCATTCCACATTCTATAGAAATGGTACGCGAAGTGGACTCGCCGAAAGAAAACTTTGAAATCCAATAGCCAATAGCAAAGGCTGCAGCATGAAGGAGTGCCACCGGGAGTATAAGTTGAGCTCCTTGGGTTTTCAAAACCTCTGAAACTTGTCCAATCTTTTAAGAAGAGAAAAGGTAATAATCAATCCCAATTCCAGTCTCAAAATTCAATAACAAAAATATTTCTGGCCATATGAACTACTTACAGGGCTGGCACAGAGCAGAGTGGTCAGAATGACTCCGATTAGAGGCGTCACTGTTATGATCTTAGACGTAAATTTAGGAAAGAACTCGTTGGCCAGAACTGTCACACAAAGCAGAAAAAGACAATTAGTCCCTAAGGATATATAGGCACAAATTCATTGTTCTGGAAAGCACCATACTTACCTCCAACTATAGTAGGCACCAACACTACTTGAAAAGTACTAACAGCAAGTCCCTGATATAAAAAAAATGGATCCATAAGCTTTCATTGTGTCGGGCTGCAACCTATTTCACTTCTTTCTACTTTATATCATTCAATAACTTTTACTGAACCATGATGATTCATATTTTGGCTTAATGAAATGTATCTTATTAGCTACAATAAATGCAATTTTGCATGAATTGATTCAAAATAGTTATAAAGAAAACTCACAGCAGCATCAACGGGAACAAGCTGGCCAGCAAGAAGCTTAGTGAGAAGAGGAGTCATTATAATAGCCCCGATGGTTGAACACCTAATAAATTAGAGAACAGATTATGTATATAAAATTTGAGGTCTCCAACAAGATTAAATCACGAAAAGAAAAGCAAGTGAAAATAGAGGTATACGTTGTCATAAGAACAGAGAGCGCTACATTCCCCTTGGAAATGTAGGTAGCGACGTTTGACGCCTGTCCTCCAGGGCAGCATGAGACTAGGATAAGACCAGTCGCAAGAGGTGCTGAGAGCTTAAGAGTCTAAAATAAAAACGCAGAAAATGTTTGCATTAGTTTTCTCCTCAACAATCATCACCAACCAAATAGTAGTGTTCACAAATGCACATAGCACAAGTTCATAGCAATCCTCTCTACAAGAGGAAGCCCTCAAGAAGTGAGCGAGTATGCCTAGAAATGTTGCTGTAGATAGGAAATGTTGATTCAACCTAAGAAGAAAGTGATACTTGAACACGCAACAGAACTCAATCAAATGTAAGTTTAATCAAGTATTAATCAATAATACATCACTTACTCGACATTTAACGTGGTTAAAGCGTATACAGACTATAGAAGTAAAAACGAATAGAACCAAAGTCTTAAACATTACAGAACAAAACAACAAAGTCGTCAATTATACTGCATAAGCATCCATTTCAGATAAGAAAATAGAAGTTAATGTGATAGACATTAGTGGAAACTTACCATTGCAATGAGAAAACCTAGAATTGGCTTGATCATGTATTGAGCAAGAAAACCAACACCCACCTGCAGGAGAAAGACTCTAAACATTAAACAGGTAACATATCTAACAGAGCAAAAACAACTACACCAGTGTTCATTAGCTCTCACCGTCCATGGATTACGTAAACATCTTCTGAAATCTTCAAACGTAAGAGTTAATCCCATAGAAAGCATGAGAAACCCAAGACCTAAAGTAAAAAGATCTGTTTCCAACCATGTAACCTACAAAACTTAAATCTATTAGCCCCAAAAAACACAGATTGCAACCGATAAAAAAAAAAACACAATAAAGAAGCATAGAAGAGCATACTAAAGACGGCTTGAAGATGCCAACAAGTGTTCCCAAAATAACCTGCACAACAACAAAAAAACCACATTGCCACATTTCAGTTATGAAAATCACAAAAAGCTTCAAACTTCATCAAAGAAAAGTATAAAAACAAGTACCCAAAGTGGAAAAAGGGTGGTCAAAAGTTCAATAATCTTCTCATACTGACTAAGTTCCTTAGGAGTACTCTCAGGTACATCACCAGACACACCTGTAGCAGCTTTGCAAGCAACCCTCCTGTACAAATTTCCAATTTTTAACAAACCCAAATCCTTAACTTGTTTACAAATTCACCAAATAACAATCAGTTCACACAAATACCTGGAGAAAGTTGCTTCAAGAGCAAAGACAGGGCTAATTGGTTTACTATTCTGAATCCTCAAACTAATTCCAGACTTACTAACAGAAACCAACTTGGGAAAATCTGAAAAGAAACACCAAATGATTCAGCTAAATCTGAAACAAGAGAAGTCATAAAGGACTAAGGAATAGGTACCTAAGTGAGTTTGAGTTCTGGTCGTAGTTGGAACCCAAGAAGTGTTGATTCTGCATTGACTTAATCTGCCATCTGTTGGTAAGATTCTGGAAATGGAAGCCATTTGTGATCGAAAGGGTTTTAGGATGTTGGTGAAAGGGTTTTGTGGAGTGTTGGGGAAGAGAGGAGAGCCACACATTCTTCATCTGCTGCCCCTTTCATCAACAATCCTATCTGGAAAATATCTCAAAACCATTTTTGGATCGATTCTAGAAATTTCAACTCTCTCGATGTGGTTTTGTTTTTTTATTTTTATTAATCGTCATTTCCTATGTGTTTTATTAATAAATCTCGATTTTAAATCATTTTTTTTTTTTTGTCACAAGTCGTATTATTAAAACATCACAAGCGTTACAAAAAGATATTACAGTGGAAACATCCACAACATAACTAAGGTCTGATTCTAAGCACACACTTTGGATTATCACATGAAGATTGATAATCCCTGTTAAACTTAAACTTAAAAGAACAAAAGAGAGTCTTTAAACTGATTTAGAGTTGAAGAACGATATATTAACTAAAAACTAAACTTTGATCTAGTCAACAGTCTTCATCCTGCAAGAAGATACTGCCAGAAGACACTGCAGGAGCCAAAAAATTCCTTCTGTTGATCTTTCCAAACTTACCAAAAATTCCTTGACAGAAAATGCAGAGTGAATTAACGTTTCTTTGGAGGTATCTGAAATCCTCCATCCTTCTTGTCTCTTTTGCGTTTGGAACATTCTCCTATTTCAAACTTTGAGGAGATTGGTGAATTGACTTCAGTGTCAAGACTTGGAGTGCAGTTAGATCCCTTTGAAGACTTCTTCTTGCTTGAATTGTATTGAGGAATTGGCACACATTCCAAATTTGTAGTCTGGA